AAGGGGCATTAGTTCTGTTGTTTATTCTTCTTGCCTGTTGTTAGTGTTTTCTTGCCTCAAATGAAGTTCCAAGTTTATCTTGGTGCAATGTTCATTCAATCCCAGGACCCATGAGCAACACGTGAGAAAATATTTACAATTACAGCTGCCATGATAACAAAACATAGTTAACCAGAATAAGACTTCAAGAAAAGCATAATTTACCTTTATTGTGTCATTTAAAAACTAACCTGGCATCTATTTAATTTTTTTCTGAAAGATTATAAGACAATATAAGTACCTTAAAGACATACAACTTTTGGATTTTGATGTCTAAAATTCCTATCACTCATTGCAAACATCTCAAGTTGTTGGTAATTCCCAGTAAGCGAGGCAATGTTCCATAAAGCTCATAAAATAAGATACTTGAGGTTATTCCTTCTGTTTGATGGATTTGAAAATGAGACTGAGAAATCATTCTTTGTGATTTGTTTATTTTTATATAATTAGTATCTCTACAAAGAGGAGGTTGAATGTGTGAATGCAATCTCTATAGCCATATATTCTCTAAGGCAACCTTCCATTCCCAGGAGTTCTGAAATATGAAGTCAGGATTTTCCATGCTCTAATTAGGCATATCACTTCCCGTGCACATTTTCAAAGAACAAAATAAAACACGTAGTGATAATCTAGATCTATAATCTCCTTAGCCAATCCCATGAGTAACTTAATACACTACTGTAAAGGAAATACACATTAGAGGTACGTCAGTGTGCTGCCTTGTAAGATTTTGCTTGTAATAAATCAATAAACAAGTAACTTTATAAAAATTAGATACTGGGAGCTAATTATTCTTTGTTTTTATTTTTATTTATTTATTTTTTTTGGAGAGGTTTTTGCCATAGGGTGCGTGCGCTCGCCAGATAGACAGAGATAGAGAGATAGAAAGCGAGAAATCACCCCCCCCCCGGAGGGGATGGTCATGCCGCCATCCCTTCTCCTCCCCCCTTCTCCTCTCAGGATCTTGGGCACGCACACACACGCGCCCAGTGTGAGTGTAAACCACCAGGTCCAGGACTTGATCCGCAGTCTACTACATGGGAGTCCGGCGACATAGCCATTACGCTAACTGCTGGTCCCTATTTTTATTTTTAAATAATAACTTAAGGAGTGGGTCTGCATTTCTCATGTACTTGTTGTGAAATCTTTTAAAATTATTTTATTCTACATGTCATTTCAATAGAACAGAGAATTTTTTTTCTCTGTAGTTGGTGCTTTGGCTAAAAGAGTGAAAGATTGGAAAGAGCACAACAGGTAGAGGAGGGCTGGGTTTCTTACATTATGATTTGCTTTTTATCTGATTAAAATGGTTTATACTTTGTATTCCTAAGGGAATGAGAGTCTACATAAGTTTGAAGCAAGCATGTGTGATGCCCCAAATAGAATTTTACCCCCTTCTCCTTCTGTTTATATATTCTAAGACTCTGTTTAAAAAGTAAATTAAGGGAACCAGCAGTTAGCATAATGGCTATGTCGCTGGACTCCCACGTAGTCGACTGCGGTTCGCGTCCCGGACCCGGTGGCTTAAAACTCACGCCGGGCGCGTGTGCATGCGTGCCCAAGATCCCGAGAGGAGAATGGAGGAGAAGAGATTGCGGCGTGACCATCCCCTCTGGGGGGTGATTTCTCGCTTTCTGTCTCTATGTCTCTCTCTGTCTGTCTGGCGAGCGCACGCGCCCTATAGCAAAAAAAAAAAAAAAAAGTAAATTAAATGCCTTGATATTCTATATAGAAGCATGTTAAATGGTTTTATTTTTGGAGAAGATTAATGGGAAGAAAATTCCTTTGCTTTCCTCTAATAAAAATCCCTATGATGAAAGATTTGTGAAGTTCTAACCTTGTATTTGGGAGCTATTTTAAATCAATTTGATTTGTAAAGTTAGTATATTCTATTGCCTCATTCAGTGCCTTCTAAATCATACTTACCTCTGGCATTCATGTAAAGAAGTTATACAACAATTAATGACTTTCAGAATTATAAAACCAAGAGTTAGATATTATAGGGGAAAAAATCTATATATGTATATATTTGAATTTTTAAAAAATCTGTTTCCTCAATGAAGAAAGAATTGTAGCCTTTCCTTTTCAAATGCAACTTCCTGTGGTCAAGAACCTACAAATTAAATTACTTTTTCATACATCATATTTCCATCACCTCATTTAGTAAAAGTTCCCTTCATCAATTTTAAGAGCATTAAATTTCATTTAGAATTTCACTCCAATGGGATTAACAAGATGTTAGGAGGTCATTGCAGGAATATACGAAGTCAAAATGTCTTTATCCAAGGTCTTCTTCGTAGCTTGTATATGTATGAGTGTGATGGCATTCGTATATTTGGGATAAATTGGAAAGGCCATCAACTTACACATGTGAAGATGTAAACAGTACACTAAACAGGACATTTTCTGATCACCAGAGGATTGCTTCAACCAGGATTTGGGGGAGGCTGTAAAGTTTCCTCCTAATTATTGGGTGTAAAGTTTACCTTCACTCTAAATTTGTTTGGAGAAACACAGATAAGTTATTTAAATTTCTCTTCTCATCTTCACAGCTTAATAAACTTTAGGGTACAGTTCTTCAAATGCAGAACATTGGGAAGAAATAGTTTGCTGGGTTATCCCAATAATACTCTGTTCCTTTCTAGTTTATGAGAATTGGTGACTTTTGGTTCTTTTCCTTTTGTATTTATGTTTCAGTGCTTCAGCATTGAGATAGATGTTTAAAGCTAAGGCTGGGCTGGAATCACCCTCAAGATTTAGAAGTAGAATTTCACAGTCTACACAAGATTAATATTCCAATCCTTGCTATAACGGACAAGCAGGGAGTTATTATATGGTGTGCTAGGAGTTGTAGCTGGCATAGCAGGGGGCCCCTGTCTGAGGGCCTCCTGCTATACCCTGTAAATACAGAGTGTGCCACAGTTATTTACAGGGCTGTTTTTCCCTTGGGAGATTTTGTTCTAGTTCACCTTAACTCATTACTGATTCATGGGCTGCTGTTTTAGCTGAATGATGATGGAAGAGCAATGTTCACTCAGAGGCTAAAAAAAATGTGCTGCAGATTTTTCCAGCATCTTGCTCATTTGAACCTTTGCTGTCAAAAAACCCACTCAAGACACTGGCTTTCTTTCATCTCGTCCACATCCCCATGAGTATGTTTTCCTATTAAGGTCAGCTGGTAAAAGGACTGCATTTACTATTCATGTTTCTGTCATTTGCACTTTACAAGGTACTCTGTTTTTATTAAGCACCAGTCTATAAAAGGCTTGGAGGTTCATCCTCTTTCCTATTTCCCACTGGCAGTTGGCTTTGACTTAGTCTGAAGATTGGACCACTTCAACATTCCTATCTCAAGTGGAGTCTCAGACTGGATGGCAAAAGTACTTTAGCTGCCAAGACACTTTGGCTGCCTCATTCAGCCAATAGGTAATGATCTATTTTATACCTAACCCAAGGTATGTTGAAACCAACCTGTCTGAAAATGAATTTGGGATTACCTTGATAGAAAACTATTAAGTGCTATCACTTTAGAATTAGAGATCACTATGTCAGGAGAGATACTTCAAGCCTCATCTCAACCAATTTTCTGAGACTTCATCTCTCTGAATAATAAATAGCAACAGGGGCTTGATTATTTAAAGACTGTATTTACAGTCCAGCAGAGAAGGGAGTTGTACAGATAGTCTCTGGCACCCATGGTGTACAATAGAGTAGACATTCTTAATTTATGCAAATTTGGCACAAACTACCATTTTTGCATTTTAGAACTCAGACTCTGATTTGGACTGTGCTAGCCCAAACTTACTCAATAGAAGAGGAGCATTTTCCTGTGGCACCAAACTCTAGACTACTTTGGGACTTTTGTTCAATCTAGTAGCTCCAGTTTAACCTACTAAAGAGTGATAGAGTTACCCAAAGTAGGACCAGCTGGTGGGATGGTAGGTAAGGTGACTAGATCGCACATGGCTGACTGAGCAGTTTTAGTTCTGGACCAGGCAGCATGAGAAACACACCGGGCACTGTGTGTGCATGCCCCAAATCCAAAATCCTTAAAGAAGGAGCAATGGAGACAGATGAGAAGAGATTTGGGCATGACCATCTCCCATGAGGGGGAGTATTTTCTCTCTGTCTCCTCTCTCCAGCAAACATACACATCCTCTAGCAAACTTAAACAAAAAAGGAGTGAGTACTAAAAACAAACAACCCCCCTAAAAAATCTGTATAACATTTGTTGTGTCCAAGAGTAATTTAACAAGTCTTTATGATAAATTCTCAGTTCTACTAGGTTGAATGAGACAGCGTAGGTGACCAAAGAAGGGGAGTTTGAACATCAAATTATTACACACAAAAACACCTTTTTTTCAGCATCACCTTCATTTATTTTCCTATTAATTTTTTCCTCAGATGGGAAAATAGTTTTATCAAGAAAACAATTGTTTCTGCCAAAGTGACAAAAGTTTATGTTTTGAATATATTTTTTGTAAAAAAAAAAAAAATCAACATTGAACTAGAGCATGCTCTGCTTTCCTTCCCCCCCCCACCCCATTTTGCTGACTAAATTTAAAAAAAAAATCCACTGGCAGAAATCAAGATACTTTTCTCAAATAGAATGATTATATTTTATTGCTGTTTTGTTTAGTATATATTTTTTTCAGTTGGGAAAAAAGTCTAGGTCAAAATTACCTAACAAGAGAAGTAGTTTACATGGCCCTAATATTTAAATTGCTGCCAAAAGAAAAAAAAAGTAAAAAAAAAAAATAATGTAAAATATCACATAACTTCAAAAAACTTACCTCAATTGTCTATCATTTATTTATAAGTCAACTTTCTAGATAGGATTATAGTCCTTTATTATAAGCCCCTAGTGGTACTATGGTATACATTTTTAAAATGCTACTACAAAATTTTTCTGTTCTCTTTGTTTTTGCCTACTGGATACTTAAGCTATAGATATTTTTGAATAAAAAGCCTACAGTAGGTATAAATGCAATAGTTAACTGATCGTGTTTGCTGATGTCCCTTTTGCGGTCCACAGAAGGTGGCATCTTTCAATCCAGCATCTTCTCCTGTTTCTTGCCTTCCTTTTTCTTCTTCTTAGATTCTGCTGTGATGAAAAAGAGAGAGCAAAAAAGAGAAAAAATAAGTTTCAAGTTACAAAGCTATAGGGAGAGGAGAGTTACCTTTCTTATAATTGTCCAGGAATGAAAAAATTACATCTATAGACAAGTTGCTTATTCTTATCAGTTCTCTTGGTTAATTGAGAAAAAAAGTGTCTGGGGGTGGGAGTGAGAGAAGGAGTCCTACTTTTGCCAGAGAGTGCCTTTAAGAGTAGGTAGGTAGAACACAACCCACTTCTGTGGAAATACCTATAAATGCCTGTTATTTTATTGGCTGTCTCCATTTTGGCACATCAACTATTGTCTTGGGATCCTCCTTAGAAAACAGAAAAACAGCAGGTATCTCTTTGAGAATTAACCAGGGCACTGCTCAATGGAGAGCTGTATAAACTTTGCTTAGACACAGTTTTCACATTCCCTCTCTATGGGACTGATTATTAACGTATTTCTGAGCAAGCAATTCCAGAGTGCTTCCATTCCCTGGTTCTGTCCTCTGCTTATATGTTTGGCCAGCTATTTAAACAGGGAGGACTGGCTGTGAATCACATGTACTCTTTCTGGAGCTTTCCCT